TATTCTATTAAGGGTGGGGGAGGATATGTAAAATATTTTAGCCCCCCTCTGTGTGCTGAAAACATTTATTTTCACTAGTCAAGGCCCACTTCTAACATGCATCCTGCCCCTCCACAGGCCACTGTTTTCTTTAACAATAACCCCTTCGGGGCATCCACCTGGCTTATACTTATCTACATTTGGGTCCTGGTAATGGAAATGCCTGGAGCAGCTCCTGTGGCTGCGTCCTGAATACAGTGCTGTCAGAACCCCCCAGCAGTGGCCATTCCTGGTTAGAATGCCGGCTGACCGCTTGGGTTGTGGTGTCACAAGTGTAATATCACATGGCGTATGTTGAAGTATTTTAGGTAAATTTAGCCTATCAGAACCACGCAGTTGGCAGGCTAGTTTTGTAGATTAAATTAGGCAAGAGGAACTGCTGTTTTTCCTGTTTTATTTTTTGTTTTTTTGTTTGCTTGTTTTTTTGTGTGTATTTGTTGCCAACAATAAGAAAGGGAGTTTTCGCACAAAGATCCTGCCGTTCGGCTTCTCTGGGAAAATTGGGGGATCAGTGACTCCGGGTCCACATCCCTTTCCCTAATTGTCTTCTCTGGTGGGAGACTGCTGAGTATGGGCTGCAGGCCCCACCCGGGACCTGGCACTGCCTAAAGTCTCCCGCACAGAAACTTGGTGTCTGGTGTCCTTAGTTATCGAGATTGCCCTCTGTTGGCCTTCGGGACCCTCCTCCCCCTTCAGATTTCTGCCCGGCCCCTGTAGCTCTGTGGGTTTTTGACCCTCACAGCTGTCAGACTGTTTTCCTATTTGGCTCAGTGTTGTGCTTTCTTTGTTCAGGCCCATTCCTTGTCTGGAATTTGTTTCCTATGAGGCTTTGCTGTCCAACTCTTCACCTCATCTTCGAGGCTGAGCCCAAGGCCCACTTTGCATATGGCCTTTCATGGCCATTATGGTTGTAGCTACTCTCCCTCCGTGCAGGCAGCACAGCATTTGATTTTTTTTTTTAATTTTTATTAAATCATAGCTGTGTACATTGATGCAGTCATGGGGTACAATGTGCTGGTTTTACATACATTTTGAAATGTTTTCATCAAACTGGTTAACATAGCCTTCACAGCATTTTCTTAGTTATTGTGTTAAGACATTTATATTCTATACCTAGTAAATTGCACATGTACCCGTGTAAGATGCACCGTAGGTGAGCATTTGATTTTATACATTGTTCTGTTGTCCATTGTTTCATGGTTTATCCTACCTAGATGGAAATACTCTGGAGGTCAAGAAGCAAACCTTTCTCATAGTTTATATCTTTCATTGTAAAATGTTAATGCTTATCCCCTCAGTCCACTTGCCTCGATTATTAAATAGTAGAGTACAGTACCTTGTTGATTTATCTCATAGTCATTGGAAGGAACATTTATACATGTTGAAAAGAAATAGGAGAGACTTATTAATATGAAAATAAGACAGAAGTAGGCTTAAATGAGAAGGCTACTGAGGAAACAGAAGCCCAGAATGTTTAAATCCCTTGCTGGGGTCAGACACTGGGGAGTCATCTAGTCTTGGACCCTCCCGCTGTGAGACTCAGCTCTTGCCTGTTAGCACTGTGATGTTTCACCGTAGATCTACCACTCTCCACATCAGACAGCCATGCCTCAAAATTCTGCAGAGCCTCCTCAAGGTTTAGTAGCATTCACATATCAAAGTCAGACAATGACCAAATTGACATAAATTGTACATGACAAATTAGGCAGAGGTGATGGATGCACATAAGACGACTCACCAAGAGCCCAGGACAACCAGAGGTGCTTCTGGCATTAATTTGGTGCCTGCAGAATGCCCTCTGCTGATGGTCCTATTCACAGAGGAGGGGCGATGTACCTGGACAACAAAGCATCAGGTGCAAAGGCATCACTGGCGAGGCTAAGGAGGTGATGGAATCGGGGAGTAACAAGTGAGTAGTTTAGCAGGGCTGGAGCCCCCCTTCTGAATCTGGGTGTTGTGATAGATGGGGCGGGAGAGACAAAGGGGTAGAGTTCACATGTTATGCTGGAGGATTTGGACTTTATCCTGAGGGGACCAGGAACCTTGAAAGACTTTCAGAAGGGAGGACTAGGGTCTGTGGCATAGAAAGGCCTGGTTGCTGGAGCCTGGATCTAGGGAAAGGAGGGTGGTGGGGACATAAGAGGCTGCTGCAGGAATCCTGGAAAGACATAATGGAGGCTTACACTAAGGCAGGGACTGTGGGGAAGGAAAGAAGCGGGTGGGTTCCAGAAATGGTCGAGCCTTTTAGTTACTAGGATGACAGTATTCTTTCAAGTTGTTTTCCTTAAAGCAGCTTTTACCCGCATCCCCCAGTCATTCCTAGAGGCAGGACGATAGACTGGCCACTTGGTGCGTGCACAGCCTTTGATTCCATGTTGCCAGAGAAACGTTGGTGGTTTCATGCCCAGTGAGTCTGGCTCCCTTCCATTTGGCCGTATAGATGAACCCTTAGAAAACAAGGACAGCTTTTCACACTGAATGTTCTGGGTTTTTTTACTGTCATATATAAGCTGTTTTGAGAGAATATACCAATTTTCCTGTTTACAGAAGCACACTGTGTCCTTTGGCCAAAATATTCTGTTTCTCAGTCCACGTCAATCTTTCTGCATTTACATTAGCCATACATAGGGGCAAATTGTGTATTCATTCTATAGTCAGAAGAGCCTGTAGATGTTAGGATGGGTGTTTTTTGCTCCTGAAATTCTTGTTCTGAGATGTAAAGACATTTAACCATCTGGTTATGACTTTAAAGTGAGTGTTCAAAGTGGAGGCTATGAATAAATATGTGAATCATGAAAGATCTATCGGAGAGGTGTTGTCAATCATGAGTTGCTGCTGTGTATCTTTCCTAGCTGTTTTTCTAGCTTTAAAAAAATGTCTAATGTAAGCAGATAGTATTTTTAAGGAATTTAAAAAATACTCAACGTGAAGTGTGGATTTTTATCTAGATGATGTCTTTTAGGAAGAGACTTTAGGGTGTAGGGTTGCTTCAAGTGCATGTAAAACCATCTGTTTTTCCCTCAAACAGCTTTTACCTGTATTTTAATTTACAGATGATATATTTTTAATATTATCATGTTATAAAAGCATTTTAGTAAAAGTAGGAATGTTGATCTTCTTTTCAGAAATATATAAAGTTGAAGTTAATAATTTTGAAAACCATATGAAATTCTTTCCCTCTAGCCAGCTAAAGTAAATCCTTACAAATGATTCAATTCACCTAAGTCTTTTGTAAGAGAATGAATCGAATCTTCCCCCAACCACAGGCAACTGATTGATTTCAGAGGTTTCTTTTCACAAGACTTCAGTTTTATGTTTTAGAGTAGGATACGTGTAAGCACATTAAATTAAATAGCAATTTTTCAAAATACACATCTGGACAATATTAACATGAGAGTAGCAGTTACATCAGACTCCGTTTATCAATTTTCATTCCTTTTACTTGTTTTTGAAATCCAGTTGGGGAATATGAGTAAAATGAAAGAGTGACTATCTATCCATTCAGGGAACTAGTTACAGTCTTATTAAGTCACGCTATTGTATCGCGTAATGTTACAGGCCTAATGCAAATAGTAATGCATTTTGACCTTGGTTTGTACTTGAGGTTGTTGTTTGGTAATTGATGTCATCCTGTCAACAGTGGAGACCAGCAAGGGAGAATTATATGAGAGCGATTTGCCAGGGCTCAGACTGCATTGTGTGCTGTGGCATTTTGAGGTGTTGATTACCCTTTTCTGTTGCTGTTATATCTATCAGCTTACTATCCAGCAGTTCTCAGCTTGGCTATTACCACTAGATACACTGGTCTTGAATAACTGGTACTTTAACTTTTGTGCAGGAGTATTTGCATCAGTAATCGCTAGGTGTTCTTTCTCTGTTGTCCAGGTACTTTTTGCACATATGACCTTGTGCATATATGGGTTGAGTATCCCTAATCTGAAAATTTGAAATCTTTAATGTTCCAAAATCTGAATCTTTTTGAGTGCTAACATGCTATTTAGAGGAAATGCTCATTGGAAAATTATGGATTTCTAATTTTCAAATTAGGGGTGTTTTAACTGGTAAGTATATAATGCAAATATTCCCAAATCAGAAAACATCCAAAATCTGGAATAGTTTTGGTATTATAACTAATTCGTCATCTCCTAAAAGGAGCTTCTAGTATATAATGGGTGTTAAGAAAAATATTACAAACTGTGGCATCTGTATTTATGAAAATTATCCAGAAAGCAAACATTGGGTACCCCCCCCCAAAAAAAAAAACCAAACCAGTCTTTGCTGGCTGCATTTTCCCTTGGTATTGATGACTGTCCTTGGACAAATACAGGCATATTGGCTTTATGTACCTGGGCTTGTGGATTTGTAATTTTATTTAAGATAATAGTACTATTTAAGCAAGGACATGGGAATGTGGAAAATGGGTGTTATTTTTCCTTTATTAAAAAAAAAAAACAAAAAACAAAACTCCCCAAACATTGATGACTTGGAATAAAAGAAGCTAGAAAATAGTTGTAATAAAAGAAAAGCATAAAAAAGAACCACAGGACGCTGAGTTTTACTGCCTCCAGTGGTATTTTTATTAATAACTTTCCAAAATGAATCTTAACTAAAAGCCCTTTTTATATTTGGGGCTTTGAGAATATGTTTATACTTTGATTGATGTTATAATTCTTTATGGTTTTTTGACTTTTGGTAGCTTTTTTAGTAGAAAATAGAATTTGGTATCCTGAGCTTTTGGGCTGGCAGGAGTGCCGGCCAGTTCCTGTGATGGTGTGCTCTGAGCTGTTGGGGATGGCAGCTGGCAGATGTGTCCTGATACACACCTGAGAGAGCACCACGCACGTGTTTGGAGGAATTCATCACTCTCTAAAGCTCACCAGGGAGAAATACATTCAGAAAGTCGGAACTGGTAACCAGTAATGTCTTACATAAAATAAGGATGACTTTTTTTTCCCTTTCAGATTTTGGGGTAAGTGCATTCTTAGCAACGGGGGGTGATGTTACCCGAAATAAAGTGAGAAAAACATTCGTTGGTACCCCATGTTGGATGGCCCCTGAAGTCATGGAACAGGTAAAAAAAAAAAAAAAAGTGATATTTTGATGGCTGCATATCATTAATGCACTAACATTTCATTCAGACCAATCATTTTATTTCATTTATTTTTTTTTGAGACAGATTCTCACTTTGTCACCCTTGGTAGAGTGCTGTGGCATCACAGTTCACAGCAGCCTCAAACTCTTGGGCTTAAGTGATTCTTTTCCTCAGCCTCCCAAGTGGTTCAGACTATAGGTGTCTGCCACACACCTGGCTGTTTTTTTTTTTTTTTTTTTTAGAAATGAGGTCTTGCTCTGTCTGTTTCTGGCTCAGGCTGATCTCGAACTCATGAGCTCAGGCAATCCACCTGCTTTAGGTCTCCCAGAGTGCTAGGATTATAGGTGTGAGCCACAGTGCCTGGGCCAGACCAATCATTTTAATAGAATGCATCGTGTAATAAATGCATTGAGATTTAATACCTGATTGCTATCTCTCAGCAAACTCAGAGTTGTGCATGAAAAGCTGTGGGTTTTCGACATAATATGGACTTAGTGATGTATAACATGCCTGCTGTGTAATCATATTTTTTTCCTCATTTCTTTCTTAGGTGAGAGGCTATGACTTCAAGGCTGACATGTGGAGTTTTGGAATAACTGCCATTGAATTAGCAACAGGAGCAGCGCCTTATCACAAATATCCTCCTATGAAAGTAATTACAATTGGAAATAATATGTTGGGTTTGAAATGTGATTGGACAGAATGTATTCTCTCATGCTCTTGAGTATCATCATTTTTCTCTCAGACCAGAGGAGCATTCATGGAGGGAGTGCAGCCAAGTTGGATGTTGTCTGATCATCATGGGGGACCGTAGTTCAGTTCCCAGCCGTGACACTGGCTTTATGTTCTTAGCTCTGTGTTGAGGAAAGAGTGTGATCTGGAGGGTTGATGCGGGTTGATTGCTATGGCAAATGCTGTTCATTACTCTTTTGCTAGATAACCCCAGGTTCCCGAAGAAAATCTAAAAATTGATTATAGTGATGTTGACTTTGCAGATGGATTTCCAAGAGTTTTGGGATTTTAAAAAACATGGTCTACATTTTCACCCCTGCTCTCACAGTGTAGTTGAGACAGCCACTGTGGTTTTAGGAAATAGCATATGTGGTAGATGCTATTTTCAGGGTTTTGTTTTTTAACCTACCTCAAGATTTCTTAAGCCTACATTAAGATTTCTCTTAGTTCTTTTTTTTTTTTTTTTT